TACAAGCTTTGAGCATCAGGTAATACGAAGAAGTATAGGCATATTCCATGTAAATTAAATAATGTACTCACATTAACCTATTTGTTTCAAATCCACTTCACTGCAAACTGAGCAGCACCGCAAAACATTACCATAAATAGGCGAACAAAATTTGACCAATGTGCCTGAAATGGAAGTAATTGCTCATGGAAATAGTTCACTCACAATTAATGTTTATAACAACTGCACAATCAGCACAATTCATCAAAAAATAATGTTATTTAATGCATTCAATTTGTAATTAATAATTTTTATCGTTGTGTTATCACTTGTCTATGCTTTAAGGTTATGTTATGTAGAGTATTTTTATATCGTATACCTGCTATATCAGGTTTCGCGGTTCAATTATAGATGTCGCTTCATTCGAGTTAGGCCCAGGAAGAACGCTATATTTGGCAACAAGGCAGAGTTTTGTTTGGTTAGGGCTATTATATGAAACGGTTGTTGATTGAAGTGGTCGAAGCTTATTATTGAATATCATTTAATTTACGATTTTTACGAGTTAATTAATAAATTAATTAAAGTGAGGTGTGTTTGTTTTTAATTGTGGATCTATCTTGCATCGGCCCCCTACAGTTTCAGAAGTGGGATGAACGAGGATTGAAGGATGATCGCGGATTTGAAATAGCCGACACGATAAGCCAACTGATTTAGGATTTCACGTGGAGAATTTTATCAGCAGAATATTGATTTTTATTTGTAAATTATGGATCGAGAAGAGAGAATAATCGATGGAGATGAATTTGAAGCATTCCAAAATCAAATGCATCGTGGGCAGGCCCCAAACTTGCAACGACCTCCAAATATAGACGTTAATGCTCTTATTATGTCGATGAATGATCTAATGCAGAATGCACAAAATTTGCAATTATTGGCCCAGCAAAATAGCGCCAACCAAGTTCCAGTTCCTGTAATGATTACACCAGTGCAAATTTATACGATTATGCCAGATTTTTCAAAATCAATCCCAACTTTCAACGGAACCAATTTACAAGAAGGTACAACCTGGATTGAAAATATTTTAAGTACCTCGATGCTGCATAATTGGCTAGATGAGTTTAAACTTCAAACCGCCAAAACTCATTTAATCGATGCAGCAGCAAGTTGGTTTGAATCTCAAAGTTCCAATATATCCAATTGGAATGAGTTCAAGAATCAGTTCAGCAGCACTTTTATACATGAGAAAAACATGACTCAACTTTGGAAAGCTATGACTCCAAGAGTGCAGGGCCTCAAAGAAGAATTTAGTCTTTATTTTCACGAGAAAGTCAAGTTGTGTAAACAATTAAATTTGACTTTTGACGAACAAAAGGAGCAAATTGTCATCGGATTGTCAACAAAAGAGCTAGGCTTCGATGATATTCAGCAAGACACACTTCGATACCAACGAACTATTCATGGACCTACTTTCATACGAACGCATCATTAATGAAAGAAGGCTGAGATTCACCAATGATGAGAAAAGAACAAGAGAATCAACCACCACTTTACAAACAATTCAAGGATCAATGAGACTCCAGCAGAATTCCAGTCAGGGTGCTGGGTCTAGAACTGCAGTTAAGTGCTTTAATTTGTCTAAACCTATCTTAGCCATTTATTCACCTTTCAATGAGACCGAATTACATTGTGATGCCAGTGCACAAGGTTTTGGTAGTGTCTTATTGCAAAGACAAGCAACCGACGGAAAATTTCATCCAGTATTCTTTTTCAGTAAGCGTACTACTGAATATGAGTCGAAGTATCATAGTTATGAATTGGAATGTTTGGCCATTATTCATACTTTGAAAAGATTTCATGTTTATTTGCAGGGGATTCATTTCAAGATTGTCACTGATTGTGATAGTTTTCGTTTGACATTGGCCAAAAAAGACATTGTTCCGAGGATTATGAGATGGTGTCTAATACTGCAAGACTATGATTTCGGTATTGAACATAGGTCTGGAGAGAAGATGCAACATGTCGATGCATTGAGTAGAATTTCTTATGTTTTAATTCTGGAAGGTAATACTTTCGAAAAAACATCAGCTTTGCGTCAAACCACTGATCCAGTAATAATCGATATTCAGAACCAGTTAGAGATCTCCGAGCATTCACATTTCGAACTTTGCAATGGGATAGTTTATCGCAAACAGAATAATAAACTTCTTTTCTATGTACCTAAAGATATGGAATTTATGATAATATATACTTACCATAATGAAATGGGACATTTAGGGATAGATAAAACTTTTGAACTGATTGGTATAGTCTATCGTTTCTCAAATAAGACAAGGCAAAAATTGGGGTCTCTTCAAATTATCGTATTGCCCGTTAAAATTATTATACTATTATTAGGAAAAATATATTGAGCATGCCCCTATACATTGGATGCGAATCCAAGTGCGAACAATGCATCTTATTGGTTGTTTTATACAGTCAACGTTGACTCCAGGAATATCTTATTGGTTAGAATTTTTAGCGGCGTATTTGGCGGCATATTTCTTTGAAGCGGCGGCGTCTTTGGTGGCATACTTCTTTGTAGCGGCCGCCGCTTGCCAATCAGTTACGTCTGAAAATACAGTGCAGTAGATAGTTTTTATAAATTTGATTCCTATTTGAGTTGTATCGCGCCTCATGTTTTATTTTATATAAAACCGTTTTAATAAATTTCTATTACCCCGCCCGAGCTTCATAAAGAAAACGCCGACGGCCAAAGGAATATTTTTTTTTTTTACTGTCTCATTTGACTATCGATAGACTATAGAACATATTGGTTTCCTGAGATGAGGCAAAAAATTAAAAAGCATATTTTCAACTGTTTGGAATGCATTGAGTATAATTCAATTTCGGGTAAAAAAAAGGATTTTTACACCCTATACCAAAAGGGAAAACTCCTTTTGAAACAATTCATATAGATCATTATGGACGATTGGAAAAGACACGTTATAAGTATAAATATGTATTTGAAATTATTGATGGTTTTACTAAATTTACTACACAGCTGAAGTAATAAAACACTTAAAAATTTATTTTAATAGTTATAGTCAACCTAAAATAATAATTTCAGATCGGGGAAGTTGCTTCACTTCTCAGGAATTCGGCGCTTTTAGTAATGAGTTCGATATTAAGCATATTCTAATCGCGACAGGTGCTCCGAAAGCAAATGGACAGATTGGGCGTATGAATCGATTATTGACGCCGCTTTTGAGTAAATTAGTAGATGAGAAAAACTTGAATTGGGACAAACATTTAAATCAAGTCGAATTTTGTAATAATAATACTGTTAACCGATCAACGGGGGAAACACCTTCTAAACTATTATTTGGTAGGAATCAAAAGGGATCTATAGACGATAATGTTAGGGAAATTCTGGAAAATTTAAATGAAAATGAAATAGATTTGGAAGAGCTTAGGGATCAGGCTTTTAAAAAAATTTTTAAGTCACAAGAAGAAAATAAAATGTACTTTGATCAAAAAAGAAAGAAGGCTAATGTTTATGTGGAAGGTCAGTATGTCATGGTAGCTAATGTAGATACTACTCCGGGAGTAAATAAAAAATTAATTCCTAAATATCGCGGCCCTTATGTTGTAAAAAAGGTATTGGCGAATGACAGATATATGATTACCGATATAACTGGTTTCCAGAATACTCAAATCCCTTATGATGGAGTTGTGGAGGTCTCTCGTCTCAAGCCATACCCGAATAATCATGTACAATCTAAAGATTTAGCCTTAAAAAAAAAAAAAATTATGTCCAAACGTACCAATTATGACTTTCTTACCTGATTATGAAACCCACTAATTATGTTGACCTATATTATTTTATTTGCACGTATATTCACCAACTTATATTATGAATTATGCAATCAATTGGATTGATTTATGTAATGAATTTTATTTATGTTTATGCCTCGGTTTATGAAATATTTGGATCGATTGATGTAATGAATTTAGTTTATGTTTATGGAATCATTTGGATTCATTTTTAATTTCATTTACATTATTATGTTTATGCACTTGGATTTATTAATGTTGAATATTTCACAAGAATTTATGTAACGATTCATGTTTAATTATCTTTATGTAATATTAGTATTAGTATTATATCAGATTTGACTGTAATGTATCTGATTATTGTTTATCTATTATGATTGTAATGCCGAATCTATTGTTTTGACCCCAGGGTTTCAACGTATGATTATGATTTGTTTTGATTGATCGAGGGCGATCAATGAGTCAGGATGGCCGAACTGTAGAGTATTTTTATATCGTATACCTGCTATATCGCTGCTTTGCTTTGATAGTGGCACAACTAAAAAAATTGCGTTTTTGCGATTTCTGTAAAAATTAACTTCTCATCTTATTGTCCTTTATCACCTAAACCGGCATATTTGTATTTTCAATCGTTTCCGCTAGAAAGCACTATGTGTCATTATCAAATTACCCGCGGTGTTACACCAACAACGGCATATCTTCAGTTGTTCAGGAACCTTTGATGGGGGTGATACGGTTATTTCTCAGATAGTGGCACATTTCGTGTTGTAACAAGTATTTCATGATTTTATTTCTTTGAGAACAGTATATTGCCTGTTGTGCCCATATTTATGGTAAGTAACATTATTAATATATAATATTTTGTTCATTGTTAGGCTGCTATTTTGAAATGTGCCTCTATAAGTGATTAAATAACAGGAATGTTAGGATTATTTCTTAATTGTGCCTATATCTAAGAAATAGTATTTGTTTATATTATTTATTATTTTTCGTCTTTTAGAATACAGAATGGCAAGTTCAAGGACACGATTAATACTAAAGCTTTGCAAGGTGGCAGATAAGAATGTACCTAAAGCGAAAAAAAAATGGAAAGGCTTGTGAACTCTGGAATAAAGTTGTTTATGAAAATGATCCTTCCGGTACTTAAAGTTCCTTGAACAGTTCTTTATGGGCGTTATTATTTTACCAGATTTTTTATGTTTTTACAGAAAATAACAAGCAGCTTATAAATGCAATTAGTGTCAAGAATGGGATTTCGGAGCCTAATCCTGAAATTACAAATGAAGAGAATAAGCAAGTTGTTTCGGAAAATGAGGAAAAAGAGTATACAGGTCTGCAGGTAGCGACGACAATCATTCCTACAAGAACTGGAAGTGACAATTATTCAGGCAACGAAGAAGCAATGGAGGATAGGACTTCTGACACATCGCAAAATCAAGAATTTGTGATTTGTGAGTGCCAGTGAGTAATTCAATGAAAATTGGTTTGACTATTTTTAAATATTTTCACAGCCCCGTTTTTTGAAGAGCAAAGAAAGGAGAATCCACAGGTGTTGCAAGAAACAAGAATCGATATTGATAATTTGGAAAAAAATGATTTCCAGAAAGATTTTAAAAAAAATGAAGATGAAAATAATTTCCAGTTGTGTAAGGTTAATTAATTACAGTTAAATAAAATTATAATTTTTTTTTTTAGTACAATTAGCTGATGAGGAAAGAAAAGAAAATATAGAACCAGAAATAGATGAAAACACCAACCAAGCTAACTACTCGGAAAGGAAAGATGATCAAGAATTATTGATGTTTTATTCAGATGACAGTGTTGCGGATCCGGACTTTGATGACAGAAGCAGCAGCAATGAAGAAAGTTCATCTGATTCTGATCAAACTTCAAGGAAAAAGAACGATATAATTTCACAAACTGAGGAATCAATTGAAGTTAAAAAAGGAAAAAAAAGAAAAAGGGACATGGATCGTTGGGTAACTCTTTCTAGTAAGAAGCTAAGAAATACTGGTAAGCCTTACAAATCATACAAAACAAAGAAAGAAGTTCGAGGAAGAGAGTTAAAAAGACCTTGCACTGAGAAATGTAAGCAATAATGTTGGGAAAAATTTACAGAAGATGAAAGAACAATTATTTTTAATAATTACTGGCAGATGGGAGATTTACATAGACAGCGAGACTTCATTGCCGCAAGTATGATCAAGGTTGAGCCTAAATATCGTTATGTTAAGGAAGGAAGCTGCAGAAAAGCTAACAATGCTTTCTTTTTCGAAAAAGACGGGAAACGATTAAGAGTTTGCAAGGTGTTTTTTATGAACACATTGGACATAAATCATAGGGTCATTCGAACTGTAGTAGAAAAGAAACTTAACTTTTCGACTAGCATCGTGTCAGAAGATCTTCGTGGTAAACACAATAATCACAAACAGATAGATGAGCAAATTAAAAATGGTGCCAGGCAGCACATAAGATCGATTCCTAAAATACCAAGTCATTACTGTCGAGCCGATTCACAGAGAGACTATATAGATGGCAGCAAAACAATAGCGCAAATCTATAGAGACTATGTAAATGAACGTTCACAACGAAATGAGCAGCATGTTAACTATGTCATGTTCTACAGAATTTTTACTGAAGAATTCAATTTGTCATTTTTTACTCCAAAGAAAGACCAGTGTGAGCAGTGTGTCGGTTACCAGAATGCGCTCAATAAGGACAAAGATGATTTGAAAGAAAGCTATGACCGTCACCTAGTAGAAAAAGACTTAGCTCGCAAAGATAAGAAAATTGACAAAGAGGAAAGCAGCTGTAGCACCATCGTAACATGCTTCGATTTACAAGCAGTTTTCCAGTGTCCAAAGGGAGATATTTCGGTGTTTTATTATAAAAGTAAGTTTCTCAATCTTACTTTTTATGAGCTGAAAACAAACGACGTTACCTGTTTCGTTTGGCACGAGGGTGAAGCAGAGCGTGGTGTTAATGAAATAGGCAGCTGTGTGTTGAGATACATAGAAGAAAAAGCTCTTTCTACTGAGGAGGAACTTGAGTTTATTTTTTATACCGATAATTGCAGCGGCCAACAAAAAAATAAATTTATGATTCATTTATATCAGTACGCAATTCAAGAATTCGCCAATATTAAATCAATCACTCACAAATTTTTGATTAAGGGTCATACCCAAAACGAAGGGGACAGTGCCCATTCCATGATCGAAAGAGAAGTTAAGAGAGTATTGAAAAGTGGCCCAATATATACACCAGACAATTTTATATCCATAATTCGTAGTGCTAAAAAGACTGGACGACCCTATAAAGTTATAGAGATGACTCATGAAAATTTTTATAACATTAAAGGCCTTACTGGAAGTGGTCAAGAATCATTTAAAAATAAAGATAAAGAAACTGTTAAAACTAGCGAAATAAAAGTTATGAAAATGACAAGAGAAGCACCCTGTTCATTTTTTTACAAAACGTCGTATATGGAAGAAGAATTGAAAGAGGTTGACACTCAAAGCAAAAAAAAAAGTTTAAGAGGCACCTCAAAAAATAATGACCGTTTAATACTCCAACCTGCCTATTCAAAAAAACGTTCATTGCCTGAAAACAAAAAGAAAGATTTACTTGACTTAATCAAGCATAATCATATCCCAAAATTTTATGCTCATTTTTATAATGATCTTTAGAATATTTATCATGTTTATTTCATTTTGTATTAATATTGTGTATTTTTTCTTTCATAACTTTTGATGTGTATAACATTGATTTCGATAATAAAACAGTTAAAATTCAAATGCATTTTTCTTAAACAACGGCATAAGTATACAAAGGGCTTGATACTGATCATTTTCATTAAATATAATTATGAAGATATTTTCCTTATTGTCTATTTTAAGCATGGAAAACTGATTAATTGATTCACTTAAAGCATAATAGTTATTTATGATATAAGTGCTAAAAGTGACATTTTATTTTGTGAAAAGGGAAGTTTGGAACACGACGCCGAAGGCGGAGTGTTCCATCCCTTTGAACAAAATTAAATCACTTTTAGCACGAATATTATACACTATTTTTTCTACAAACGCACTAAAAGTGGTTACTTTTAGCACTAGTGCTAAAAGTAATCACTTTTAACACCAGTGTCATAAAATGGCATTTTAGACACTGACAGCATCCGTTAAAAATGACACTTTTAGTGACGTTTGTAGAAAAAAAAAATAATAGCATATTAGCCTTTGTCATATTTTTAAAAAGCGTATCCTGAAAATAATCATATTTCGAGTTATGCCAATATCAAAGCATGGCAGCGATATCAGGTTTCGTGGTTCAATAATAGATGTCGCTACATTCGAGTTAGGCCCAGGAAGAACGATATATTTGGCAACAAGGCATAGTTTTGTTTGGTTAGGGCTATGAAACGGTTGTTGATTGAAGTGGTCGAAGCTTATTATTGAATATCATTTAATTTACGATTTTTACGAGTTAATCAATAAATCAATTAAAGTCAGGAATGTTTGTTTTTAATTGTGGATCTATCTTGCATCGGCACCTTACAGTTAGACCGTTAGTGCGCGTTCACATTGACACCGCTCACCGTTGCGCGATGCCGCTGTAGTGATGCCCAAAAATAATTTTAACATTATATTTCAAATGAACATGTTAACACCGCGCGACACGCCGCCTCAGTGTGAACTTCTTGATTTGAAATATAATGTTAAAATTATTTTTGGGAATCACTACAGCGGCATCGCGCAACGTTCACCGCTCGAACGGTGTCAATGTGAACGCGCACTTAGAGTTAAGACGTTCTGCTTTAAGCTGCGTACAGACTTGAACATTACTCCGAGCAACAAACAGAACAACGAACCGAACAGCAATCGAAACACTAATTTGGACGGGGATACGAACGCGTTTGCAAACGGGTTCGCAAAACCTGCCCCCATGCAAATTACTGTTTTGATTGCCGTTCGGTTCATTGCTTTGTTTGTTGTTCGGCGTAATGTTCAAGTCTGTACGCAGCTTTCGAATATAGGAGAATATAGAATTAGCATTGCACCTAATTAATCATTATGTGTAACTTATCTGAAACTAAATAGAATTTGAGTAAATTAGATCATTACCTTATTTTTTTTAGTATTTTCTAGTGTGTTTGTGTGTCCAATTGAAAAATGGTGTTTCCTAATTTGGATTTCTATTATGCATAGTCTGCATAAAACACTATTAGTATAGGTATTTGGTCCAACTCACCGGATATTGGAACTGATTTGATCGAATTCAAGAAGTGTTGTAAAATAGACCAGAGTGGTAAGTCCTATTTTTACTATTTCTCTTCATTTCCTGATTAACTGATTCAATTTCGTTTGTTTTGTGCTCTATTTCAATTTGCTATTAACATGGATATTGAAATAAGTGAAGTAGATAATAGTTATTGTTAGTTTTGTCATGACTCAATAAATATAATTCAAATAATAATTCAAACCGGCAACGCTGTGCACCCTGTCAAAACCCATCCAGTTCAAATGTGATGGCACCCGATCAACAAAAAGGGAGTGAGAATAACGGTTTAGCCGGGCGAAAAAGAGACAGACATATTTGCTTTAACTTGTTCTTGTTACTGTCTTGTATTCACTTGTAATTTAGGATTTGCATTTGTATTCTGGTAGAATAAACACGTAATAAAAAAAACGTCTCCTATTTTTCTTGTTAATCTATAGCAAAATTATACATAAAAAAGTATTTTAAAACCCAGCAAAATAGAAATACAGTCCACAATCGAACAAATCATCATTTTGGTCCAACGACACGGATCAAGGGCATAACCGACCGTTGCTAAAAGTAGAACAGCTGGAAAAAACGTTCATCACGTGAGTCGTTCCTTTTTTATTTCTTGTCCAATCAAGGTTTGTTTCCTATTTATTTCTCTAGGGCGGTTTTGTTTTGTGCTTGCAAACTAATAATTTTCCTCATTTATAATTATTGAACAATATTTTAGCGCATTTGTTCGCGTATTTTTCTTTATACGGCAACTAGTAAAGATATTGTTTGTTGATATTATTGGTTAAATTTAATAAAAAAATAAATAGCGATGGAAGATTTAGACAAATTAGTTCGTAAACGAAGCTCGATTAAATCAAAGGTCACTATTTTTTCTAAATTTCTCAACACAATAGAAAATAAATTTCCCGATTATAAAATCACAGAGCAAAAATCATTCAATGAGCTTGAAGAGCGAGTTGATCGTTTTGAAAAAATATTAGACGAGTTCGAACAAATTCAAATGGAAATTGATACAATTGCAATTGATAGCGATCAGCAGCTTGAAGAGCGCGAAAAGTTTGATGCTGACTTTTACTCTAGTCTCGCAAGGGCAAAAACTTTTCTAAAAGAATCGACTGATGACGATGATGTGGCTTCACAAAATGCAAACGCAAATTTGGTAGGCGGTCATATTGGTGTTCATGGCTTGAGCTCGGGTACTGGAGCTATGGCAGTTGGCTTTAACAATAATTTAAAGTTACCACTAATAGAATTACCTAAATTCGAAGGTAATTATGACAATTGGCTCGAGTTCAGGGACTCATTCGACTCTTTGATCCATCAAAATCAATCTATTAGCGATGTACAAAAATTTCATTATCTTCGTGCAAGTTTATCTCGTGGGGCTCTAGAAATTGTTGCTAGCCTAGAGCTTTCTAGTGACAATTACACGATTGCGTGGGATTTAATTTGCAAAAGATACAATAATAATCGCATTCTAGTGCAAAATCACGTTAAAGCATTGTTTAATTTAGACAAAATACACGAAGAGTCTGCGCTATCCCTCAGAAAAATTGTAGATAATGTAACAAAACATATTAGGGCTCTCAAAATTCTTAATGAACCCACGGAAAACTGGGACACTTTAGTCATATACTTAATTTCACTCAAACTGGACCCTATCACTGCCCGTGAGTGGGAACAGAAAAAGGCCCTTTTCAATAAACCAACATTTGAGAATTTAAAAGACTTTTTAAAGGAACGTGCCGATTTTCTGGAATCACTAGATGGTTCCAAAAATGTCAAGAAATTCACCAAAAATAAAGTAGAATTAAAAACAAAATCTTTCTTTAGTACTCAAGTATGTTGTCCCTTTTGCAAAATGGAACATTACATTCAAGAGTGTGCTAATTTCAAACAATTAAATGTAAACGAGCGTCTTATTGAAGTAAAAAAAAGAAAACTATGCATCAATTGTTTACGTCCTGGCCATTTAATAAAACAATGTCGTTCAGGTTCTTGCAAGTTTTGTAGGGGTCGTCATAACAGTCTTTTGCACATCTCTGACCCTAGCAAAAGTGCACAAGTACCTGAAGAAGCACAAAGTAACGAAAGTATAGTTTGTTCCTCAAAAAGCGTCTCAAATTTCAATAATCACGTATTATTATCAACTGTCTCGGTTCGCTTATTTGATAATAATAATAAAATACACATAGCACGAGCGCTTTTGGATGCAGGAAGTCAGAGCAGCTTTATTACTTCTAGTTTAGCAGAAAGGTTGAACTTAAATTTGTCAAACATCAACATAAAGGTCTGTGGTTTAAATCAGGCTGAATCTACAATAAGACAAAAGGCTTCCTTGCACATTCAATCACTTCATAACAGTTATAGTATTAACGCTTTATGTCTTGTAGTGCCGGAAATAACAGGTACGTTGCCTAATTTTCCTGTTGACATTAATTCTTTACAAATTCCAGGACATTTAAAGCTAGCTGATCCAAATTTTTATTTGCCAGGCAAAGTTGACATTCTCTTAGGCGCTGATCATTTTTGGCATGTCATGTGTGTAGGTCAAGTAAAACTAGAAAATCATAATGCACTCTTGCACAAGACTAAATTTGGGTGGATAATTTCAGGTTCCGTTTCTTCAGTGTCTTCACAAGTTGTGCAATGCAATTTGTCTACCAATTCTGATCTTGATAAACAACTTTCTAGATTTTGGGAAGTGGAAGAGGTTTCCACTTCTAAATACTTGTCGCGTGAAGAAAAATTGTGTGAATCACATTTTGTAGATACATTTCAACGTAGCGATAATGGTCAATTTATCGTGACAATCCCTTTCAAGGAAAATCTCGATGTTTTAGGAGATTCGTTCGAAAATGCCAAAAAACGACTTTTGTCTTTGGAGCGTAAATTTGAGCGCCAACCTAAATTCAAAGAAGCATACTCTAAATTTATCAATGAATATGCTGCTTTGGAACACATGTCAAAGGTCAAATCTGAAACTAAACAACACTCGTATTTTTTACCCCATCATGGTGTTATCAAAGAGAGCAGCCTCACCACTAAACTACGTGTAGTTTTTGACGCTTCTTGCGCAACTAGCTCCGGCTATTCTCTTAATGACCTACAGATGGTGGGTGCAACATTGCAGCCTGACTTGTTCTCAGCACTTATTCGTTTCAGAAAATATAACTATGTAATCGCGGGAGATGTAGAAAAGATGTACAGGATGGTTCTTATAGTTCCGGAACAACGAGCATTACAGCGTATTTTATGGCGTGAAACTCCTGTTGACCCAATTGATATTTATGAATTAGCAACTGTCACATATGGCACTTCATCAGCGGCCTTTTTAGCCATAAGATGCCTTTACCAAGTAGGTCTAGATTGTGCCGAAGAGTCTCCAGTTATTTCCGAAATCATTAAA